TGTTGGATCGGCTGAGTCGAAGTCCTTCTGAACTTCAGGATCAGCTGAACATGCTGAGCATGTTCGGCTGACCGAAGTACACCCGAAGGCAGCCGACGTATGGCTCATTTTAGCCGATGTACGGCTGAAATCAGCCATACAAGCCAGAAGTGAATATCCGAACTTCACTTCGGCTGAAATATTCTTTCGGCTGCCTTTGGCAGCTTAGTAAATAACCTTCCTATTTTCTATGCTCCTTTAGCTCTCTCTACTGGCCATAAAGCGATATTACATGAAAATGTTTGAAAATTAATTGCAAATAAATAACTAAGGAATGTTTGTCTTGGCATTTATTCGCAGTGAACATTCCCAGATATTCACAGGGTGAATGGCATTACCAATTGTTTAAAAGGAGATCCCTTGGAGTTCTCAAAGGAGACAGGGAAAAAGTATTTACCTTGACACATAGGAGCTTATATATAACATGTTCGCACAGTGAACACTATATCTGCGCTAATGACACTGTGAATTACTGCCACTAGATGGAGCTGAAGAGCACAGGAATTCCTATCTCTACCTGTAATTGTCTTCTGTTAGAGAACCTGTCATCACTTAATTCCAATCACATAAGGGGCTTGTGATAGCAGTAATGCTAAGAAAAAATTAGTTTTTATAAAATAACTGTATAAACACCCCCAAATGTATTTTTAAACTCCCTTTCCCCTGTGTACACACTCATAATAACCCTTGTTGGGTGCACATATGTACGAAAATGATTGCTCCACACGTGTTAGGCATCGGCACACACACTGGAGAGTCATCAATAATTCTAGGGCCATTATTCAAAGTCAACTGTGATTGATGACCTGGAAAAAGCTTTTGAAATATTTTCTATAGACTTTTTTTTTTTTTTTTTAAAGCTTGACCTCTTATTGAAATTCTGTAATGACTCCTGGATTTTGTATAATCTGATTTTATTACATTTTAGCAATAAACAGAAATGATATAGATAAATTGTTCATTTATTGCTTGACATGGCTAGTAGGTACATCAGTTAAGTGCTCACAATCACGCCTTACATCATATCTGGATGGAAGACCATCTGGTAATGCAACAACATGCAGTCCCCGGGTTACATACATCCGACTTACATACGAATCCTACTTACAAAAACGGAGGCTATTACTGTGCAGCAGGGGTAGTTGTAATGCTGATGAGGAGTGCCCACCTTTTTGGGTCTGGTTCGTAGTACTGTACGTACATTGTAGGAAGTTGGCTCCTGTTCGACGTGCAGACGAGGGGTGCCCACCTGTTCTTCTGGGTCACTGTCAGCTTTTTACTGCTGTCTGTATCCTCATTAGAAAGATTTAATCTCACTTCCTGTCCTTGAAACAACAGGAAGTGAGAGGAAATCTACCCCTAGGAAGGGAAATCCACTCCTGTAAGAGTTATCATTTGAAAAAAGGTGTCTCCACTGAAGCTTTATCACCAATCCTTGTTTCCACGATAACCCACAATTTTCAAAATCCAACTGTCACAGGGACAGAAAGTGAGGTGAAATCTTCTGAACAGGAGCACACACAGCAAAACAAACTTTACAGGGGGTTAACCCTTCCCTGTGCTATCCAAAACAAAAAAATTTTTTTTGCCTGTAGTTACACTTAAAAACATTACCTGTTCCAACTTACATACAAATTCAACTTAAAGTGACATTAAAACCTCAGATTTTTTAACATAAACCAATACTGTAATGTGCGCCTTACTGTAATCCATAGTTGTTTCCCTTCTCTTTGCTGATCTTCCTTTTACATCCTCATGTCTTCTCATGCTTGGGGAGAACTTCCCTTTGCAGCTGAGTGCCTTTTCCTGTAGTGCTGGCTCAGGTTGCAAGCCTATACACAGACACCATGTATCCATTCCAGAGACAAGGCAGTCTGCTGCAAAACAGAAGTTCTGCCCAGCATGAGAACAGATACAGATTTAAAAGGAAGAGCAGCAAAGAGAAGGGAAACAACCATGGATTACAGTAAGGCGCACATTACAATATTGTTTTATGTTAAAAATCTGAGGGTTTAATGTCACTTTAAGAACAAACCTACAGAACCTATCTTATTCGTAACCCTGGGACTGCCTGTACTGCTAGTAAGCGTGGAACTATCTGGCCGTACAGGGTGAGACTTAAAAGAAGAATGGCGAGCCTGTGTTTTGCTCTTCCCAGCTATGGGGAATGAAGGTAGTTACAATGTACCTCTGGGTATGGGGGAGTACAAGGGCATTTGCTAGGTTATGGCACCCAGGGCACGTGATGCAGTTCTTATACTTGTAATTGTTGTCATTATTCCAAGCAGGTTTGCATATTTTTTCAATGCATATCGATTATTGGTACAAACTACAGTATTGGCTCACCACTCGGCACACCTTATAGTTGTGCTAGCGAGGGACATCAACAGCGACATTTGCGTTATTCAGCGATTTGTATGTATCCGAAACTCTGAAGAACATTAGCAACGAATTTCAACGAATCCGAAACAAATTATAACGAAAGCAATGAATTAATTCTGATTCATTTGTTTCATTCGGATGTTATGATGCGATATTTTGGGTCTTTTGTTAAAGGTTGATATATAGCAAGTCTTCTGAAATAACTAATTGTATATAATAACTAGGGGTGCACCCATACCGGTTTTTCAGTATCGACCAGTACCGGAAAAAATAATAATCGGTGCTCGTGCTCGATACCGAAAAACCGGTATCAGTGCATCCCTAGTTATTATATACAATTCGTTATGCAATACAGATCCTGGAAGTCCTATTAAGGAAGCCGGGCGGCATGTAATGACTTACGGCCCGGCTTCCCGATTAGCCAGGAAGCGGTCCCCGTGCTCCCTTGTCACTAGGTGATGAGTAAGCATGGAGCCAGCTTTCTGGCCAATCAGGAAACCGGGAGGCAGCCTACCTGAGAGTGACCCTGCAGAGCCCACCATAGACTCTCTGCAGGGGTCTCAGGTAGGCTGGTCACACCCCTGCACACCTCTTGCCTGTCAGTCTTCTCCACCGCTGGCACTGCCTCCTCCTGGTTTGCCAACTGGCCCCGCCTCCTCCACCGCTGTCAGGCTTGGACTCTTCCTCCTCCATCGTTGCCGGGTCCCGCCTCCTCCTCCTCCAGATCACTGACAGCTTGGCACGTTCCTCCTCACAGCCACCAGTGACAGCCAGCAGCCTGCGATGCCATAGTGACCCAGGTGGCCTGCGCGGCATCAGGGGGACCCCTTTGTTCCTTGTCCTGGCCAGGCACCCCTGTGCCCCGGCCCCATAGTGGCCGCCTGGATCGCTATAGCGATAGTTCCACCACTGGGCCTGCGGGGACCATTCTAGCAGCCCAGCAGAACTGGGGGAATCAAGTGAGTATATCTTCTTTGTTTTTGCCCCCTAGACAAAACAAGCAGTTAATCCTTACAGTGCAGGGGTAGCCCCACTGCCTGGGTTAATTTTTTTAAATCACGGAGGTCCTCTTTAACAAAACGATCAATATGACACATCATGTAAGAAGAGACCATGTGCAGAAAACATTAAGAAATAAATAACTTCTACAGTATGCAACTATTGTCATAGGGCAAAGAGTATTCAAGAGTGAAAGGGTGCAAAAGCACCTCAAGTATACAAATCCATCAATACAATATGACCTAAAAGGTACCTGGAGCTCCGAACATCAGAATCTGACTTAGGAGGAGAGACCTGACTTTTAAGAACTCACATGGGGAAAGGATAGACACGCAAAAGAACAAGAAGGATAACAGACAAGGAAAAGAATGGAAGTGGTACCAAGACCACCAACACCATGGTAATATCTTAACGAGGCAATGTTATAAGAGAACAAAGTCCCTTTGAGAGCTGGGGGGAGGGCACTTTGGTCAGGTTTTTAAGCAAGTTAAAAGCAAGTAAAAAAGGCAAGCAGTAATTTTTAAATATTTTTCAATTTATTCAATGTGAATGGGAACCTGTAACAAATAAAAAAATAGGTGTTATCCCAATTTGGCTGTAAAAGGGAAACACGCTTTAAATACAACTACTTGGAAGTCATTTACTAGTTAAAAGGAGAACTATGGGGTCAGGGCTTTTCCCCATAGTTCTCCTTAGGGTAACGGGAGGACACAAACTAACGTCCTCCCGTCACCCTAGGCTCAGTATACCGCCAGCCACAGCTGGCCGTATACTGAGACGCCGCAGCCGGAGCGGGTCCCGACATCGAGGTCTAGATCCGCCCAGTTGCGTGAATGACAGCTGGCTCTGCCTATCTAGAGGCAGAGCCAGCTGTACCCGCCCCCTCCCCCGTCCGTTCCGCCAGTCAGCGCTGGCTAGGGTTGCCACCTTTTCTTCAAGCGAAACCCGAACACTCAATCGACGTGTGGACATTTTTTTGGGAGAATGAGTCGTGGCGTATTCATATATACAAATTGCCGCCAATTCGTATGTAAATATCACAGTTGAGACTATTTTCAGTGGGGGGCCAGTAGCCCCTATCTTCATTTTGGTTGCCCCTGTCTGCCTGACATCTTGTGTCCAGGTTTCTGCTGCCATGAAACCTGGACACAGCATTCAAAACCCAAACTGTCCGGGTGAATCCTGGACAGGTGGCAACCCTAGCGCTGGCGGATCGGCGCGGGGAATCCAGCCCCTCCCCTGTCACAGCAGAGAGCCGTGACAGGATCGAGAGGTGAGCGAACGCCGGTATATGTTCGCTCACCTCCCGATCTACTGAGCCGACCTGTGACAGTCTCATTGTCACAGGTCGGCTAGAACTATGAGGTGAGTGAAAAGCACTCACCTCATAGTTCTCCTTTAATAGTAAAAACGCTGAATATACCATGTCAGCTAGAGTGAGATTTCCTCTCCAAAAATAGTAGTCCTGGGCTCTGGGTTCCTGTCTGTCATCAGGAAGTATTTTCCTGTTATCAACACAGAGCAGAGTATCCTGGAAAGGAAGGCCAACTACAGAAGTCACACAGAAGGAACACAGTAGCAGCAGAAGACGAAGCCATGGATGTCTCTACAATAACAGGTAACATCAGAAATATTTTATACTCCGTGTATGTTCTTATATAGAGAGAGCACTACGCCTCATTTATCAAAGAGCTTTGTTGAGTCCAGCAGCCAGTCAGAATTCACTTTCCATTCTACAGACCAATGTCCGAACTTTTGTTTATCAGTGTCAGATACTTTGATGAAATGTAATTGTGGTGATTATAATACTGTTTATTGTTTTTAGTTATTGTTGTTCTTCAGCAAATGGCAAAATGTAGTTTAACCGTACTCAACTGTTTTCAAGTCTACTTTATCAAATGCCATTCAGCAGCAGTCAGAAGATATAAACAAGTGATCCAGCACATGGAATGGATTAAATTATCTTCCACCAATGGCCATTAACACCTTTAGTACTCCTTATAGAGAAACTCTATAGCAGTGACAGCTAACCTATTACTAACACCCAGTTAGTTAATCAATTTGCTGCATCAACTGTTTTTTTGGGGGGGTTATAAAGCTGGTTGAAAATTGTTATTTATTTATTTTATTTGGTCCCATTATGAAATAAATGTACTACAAATAACCAACCTCCTAGGCTTTTCTAATTCTGAAGGGCATAAATGCCTCCAAACTTGGCCAAAGCGTAACAGTATTGGTCAGCGGCATATCCTCCCTACTCTGAACTCTGTGTCTGCACTTTACATGTGTAGCGTACCGCTTACGGGAGCAGCATACAGTAATAAAGCAATGGGTCGCCCTGTGTTTCCTCTGTGATGGACCGCAATAATAAATACACAGCACACCTGAGTTGAAGTCCTTGCAATAGGACTTCGACTCAGCCGATCCAACATCTGGATCGGCTGAGCCGAAGCTCAGGCAGCTCACTCTCTGCTGTTCGCCCCTATTCACATAGGGGCCGAACGTCAGTGAGTGAATAGCCCGGCTATTCTGCTCGCTATCTCCGTGGTACCGATCAGAATAGCAAATAGTGTAAAATGTTGATTTAAAAAAAAAAAAAAAAT